AAAAAAAAAAAAAAAAAAAGCTCCATCTATGACTGCATGAGGCTTTGGGGAGACATCTAAACACAAGCCATTACAGTTGGGGAACCTGATGTAGGAACATTGTTCACCACATGGCAACAAAAGCTGAGAAGTGAGGATCTGAGGACAAGAACAGACCTTTCCAGATTGTGCCCTTAGTGACCTTCCCCCTCCAACCAGGCCCCATTTCCAAGCAAGTGAGACTTTTGAGGGCAATTTTAGATATAAACTGTATCATTCCACCCCTGGTCTCCAAGAGTTTCATGTCCACCTCATTATGCAAAATGCATTTACTGCACCCCCAACAGTTCAAAAGTCCAAGTCCAAAGTCTCCTCTGAGACTCAAGGCAAACCCTTAACTATGAGCTCCTGTAAAAACCAAAAAGAAAGTTAAACACTGCCAACACACAATGGCAGAGGGTAAACATTACAGTTTCAGAAGGAAAGAACAAGAGGGTAGAAAGAAATCAGACCAGAGCAAGACCAAACCCAGCAAGGCAAATGTTAAATCCTGTAGCTCCACGCCTCGCAACGGAGGCTGACTGTGGCGAGACCGGAGCTCCAAAGGGATTGGGGAGCCCCACCTCTAGGGCCTTGCCCGTCACAGCCTCTTTTGGGTTGGCTCCATGCAGCAGGCCCTCCGTGTTCCTGATACATCAAGTGTCCTAGGATCTCCACTGCTCCTTGGGCTTCACTCTCACAACCTCACATACTGCCTCCCAGGGGCCACTGGCAGACTGTGACCCTATAACATGTCCTTTATTTTCTTATTGGCCTCCCTGGTCACCTTTTGAAATCTGGATGGATCTGTTTGGCTATGTAACTTTTACATTCTGCATGCCTGAAAAAACAGCACCAAGAGGATAACACCAAGGTCTGCCGGTGAACAGTAATCTGGCCCCTTGGATGACGGCTGGAGTGGCTTCTGAGTGCGTGGATGGTGAACTTGAGGATAGACTGCCCTGGACAGCCACGAATGAGCAAGAGTCCCAGGGAATTTCTTCTTGAAGGGAAGATTTACACTTTTGTACCCTTGATCTTGTGATAGGTGAGGTCTTGCTGATTTTTGAGAGGCTCTCAAGGCATCTTTCTTATTGACTCTGTACAAAATACTTGACATCTTTTTAATGTTAATCTTTTCAGCAACCATGCTCTCCATGGCCCCAATTTGGCAGGCATTTGCTTTCTGGTAAAACTGCAAACCTTTCAGATCATTCAGCTTTGCCCTTTGCTCCTGATTCACACTGTAGCTCTGGCTAAAAACAGCCAGCAGTGCCCATACCACGGTCTGAATGTTGGGTTGCCTTGAAATTTCCTCCACCAGACTAATTAGTATTTCACCCTTAATTTCAGTCTCCCACAGAATCTCAGGACATGGGCAAAATATAGACAAATTTTTTTGCCAGAGAGTAACACATATGACCTCTAGTCCAACTGCCAATGGAGTCCTTGTTCCCAGTAGAAACCTTCTGAGCCTCACCTTTCCTGTCTACATTTCTGGTCTTCTGCAGCATTCTGGTCTTCTGAGCTTGATCAGTACTGCAAATCAAGCTCAGTTCACAGCCTTCTATATCTTCACTTAAACCTTCACCTCTAAATCTTTCCAAACTCATACTGCAAATGAGTTCCAAAGGCTCCTCAATCACATGACCAGGCAGTCACAGCAACAACTTTGCTCCTAGTACCCATTCTCTTGTAGTAGTCATTTTCCCATCACTGGGCCCAAATACTTGACAGCTGTAATTTAAAGAAGAGGGTTTATTTTGGATCACAGTTTCACTGGGTTTAGTCCATGGTCAGCCTGCTCCAAGGCAGAAACAGCGTGTTCAAGGAGCCTGGTGGAGGTAAATTGTTCACCATGTAGCAGCCAGAAAGCAGAGAGAGAGAGAGAGAGAGAGAGAGAGAGAGAGAGAGGGCATGAGCCAGGGACATGAAAACACCCTTCCAGGTTATGCCTGAAGTGACTCATCCCTGCCAATGAGGCCCTACATCTGAGCAAGTGAAACTTTATGGTGATATTTTAAATCTATATACCATAATAGTAGCAACGTGGTCTAGCTAATTATAATGGAATATTTTTAAGTCACATTTAAAAGATGAACATTAATTTCAATAATGTTAATGTAATGTTTATATGGTACTGTTAAGCGAAAAAACAGACTATAAAAACATACATACATTTCTTGTGTGTAGTAATTATATATAAATTATATGAAAAATGTACATAAAGACTGGAAAGAATATAATTCATCTGTTCTAAGATGCATCTCCCTCCACCCCCATACACAATTAGAAAAATTGGAACTTATCATTTACAAAGCATATATTAAATGTAATATTTCTGTCTTCTAAAAAGCTCCTGGAATATTTGAATTTACACTTATGGATGACTTTATTTTCCTATGTCAATAAAGTTATTGAGGGGCTGGGGATTTAGCTCAGTGGATCGGTGGCCTGCCTTGCAAGTGCAAGAACCCGAGTTCAATCCCCGGTACCAAAAAAAAATAAATAAAGTTACTGTGTACTGGGATTATGAGTCATTTGGTAGAATTATGTTCTTTTCTGTATTTAAAAAATGCACTATATTTTTTTAAAGTTTGGAACATTAATATTGAGGGAAACAAGTAAACTATCATTATCACTGAATGATTTTTTTTCAATTTTTTCTTTTTGGTAAAAAAGGTGGCATTAATAAATTAAGGCTACAGAGAAATTTTACTAGGATTTGTGTAATCCTTCGCAGAAAAAATAGATATAGATGCAGATACAGATATATAACTCAATAAGGAAAAAGGATGTGTAATGTTGACAATGTCCACTTGAAGTCACATATCTTCCTTTGTTAATGCTCACTTGTTAATGCTACTTCATGATTCTGCTAGAAAAGTGGACTCGCCCCCTATGAAGGAACTTCCCAAGAAAGAACAAAGCTGTGTGTGGAAATCTTTGCTGAAACTGCCCTACATTGGACTAAGAGAGTTATGACGCACGTGACCAAGTCCTCACAGTCTCTACCTGCTGGAGGTATGAAAAGAGATCCCTGCAGGGATCCACTTTGAAACTCACTTACTCCCTCAGTTACTCCCTGAGCTTGGCCAGAGGTTGTAGTTCCTGGACATTTGGGCCTCTTCCTAGGCAAGTCATGTATGGCAGCTGACTTCAGAGAGAGAGAGAGACCCCAAGACAGAGCCACAGTCTGCCACAACCTAATCTCAGAAGGACACACCATTACTTCCAGAATATGCTATTGGTTACATAGACCAACCATGGTATAATATAGTTGTCAGATTTAACAAATAAGATTTTCATATTCCATTACATTTGACTTTCAAATAATGCATTAGCTTTTAGAAGTAATATTTCATGCAATTGTTGAGAAAAAGCCATATAAAACCATGGATTGCTTATCTGAAATTCATATGTAACTGGACAGTCTGTATACGTATAGCTTGTCATTGGTTTTGTTTCATTTTGAGACAGGGTCTCACCATGTAGTACACGCTGGCCTTGAGTTCACTGTGTAGCCCAGATTGGCCTCAAACTCTCAGTGATCCTCATGCCTCAGCCTCCTGAGTTCAGGGATCACAGGCGTACACACGCCACCACATCCAGTTGAGTATTCTATATTTTACCTGGCAGCCCTAGCCCAATGCATTGTGGGAGGGGTCTACACAGGGTGTGAAAAGAGAAAGCAGAAATCACAGGGGCCACCATGGGACTGAGCTACTCTTCCAACAACTATTTAAAGTTATTTTTGCTGATCAATAATTTCACATAATTCCCTTCCACTGGAACTAAAACTTGTCAGGTTAACAGAGAAAATAATCTAGTTCTAGTGCTCATGGAGATTTCATCCATCCATAGATTAATGTAGGGGGAAATGAATATGAAATGAAGTCTTTGGCTTCTGCCTTTTGATATCCCCTATTGTTTTAAATTTTATCCATCTGGATTTACACACTTCCTGTTAGGAATCTGCTATTATTGACTTGTGATTATAATAATTTTTTTTGTACTGGAGATCGAACTCAGGCCCTTGAGCTTTCGAGGCAGGCAGAACCACTGAGCCAAATCCCTCGCCGTGATTATAATAATTTAATCTATATTTCTGAACTGGTTTTGGTTGGAATGTCTGGATACTGCTGTTTACATATGTGTTTCGTAATGGCCACCTTAGTGAATGTTCCTATTATTTCCAATAATTCAAGTTGATTTCCTTAGGTTTCCCATCTATATATCAGTGTTGTCTGCAAATAATGACAGTTTTCCCACATCCTTTTAAACACATAGGCACTTGTTCTGTTCTTGTGCCTGATTATATTCTTTTTTTTTTTTTGGCAAGGGGTCTCACTATATAGTTGAGACTGACCTGGAACTCACTAAGTAGCCCAGGCTGGCTTCAAACTCACAGCGATCCTCCTGCCTCAGCCTCCCAAGTGCTGGGATTACAGGAGTGCACTACCACGCCCAGCTCCTGATTATATTCTTTAGCAGTTATAATTTTTTTGAGGAAAACTTAAGACTCAGAGAAAATTGGAGGACAATCATATGTAGGGAAACTATTTTACACGCTAAAATTGCCACGGTATTTCTGAACCTTTTCAAAGCTTTGCACAACACCTGTTGACTTAAAAGCCTTCCCAGCAATGCAGTGTGTGTAAACAGCCCTATCGGCTTCACCTTGAGAAGGCTGGCACAGACCCCGCTCCAGGTGTAGCCTGACTTTTCTTAGCCGTTCAGGCAAAGTTCAGGAGGGCGTTCCAACGGACTTTGGACCTATTTTCCAAGGAAACTTATTAAATAATAAGCTTTGGAGCAGGAAAATGAGAATCACACATATAAAGATTTTTTAAAAAGGATAGAGTTCTCTGAACCCAGGACACCAGCCCAGAAAACAACATCCGAGGGGCCTCTTTTTCTCAGAGTACCCAGCCCTTGCCTTCACAGCAATTACCGCAATGTGTGTGTGGTTTTTGTTGTTGTTGTTGCTTTTCTTTTTTTGTAACGGGGATTGAACTCGGGTCCTTGTGAGGCAGGTGGCAGAACCACTGAGCTAAATCCCCAGTCCACAATGTGTTTGAATAAGCATATATTTGTTTATTGGGTGTTTGTCTCCTCAGAATTCACACTCCACAGAGACAAAGGCCGCTTGATTGTTTTTACCCAGGTTAGCCTGGTACCTCATGATGAGCTTGGCTTCTAGTTAGCATCAACACTGCTTATAGAAAGAATGAATGGATGCTTTGTGGATAGAACCCCCGCATGACAGAAATCTTTCTCACACAATGGACAATTACAGATAGAGTTCACTCTCCTAGAGGTCTTTTTCCCTGTGAGGCCTCAGAGAGTGAAGGCCTTTCTTCTTCCGGGCTGACTGTGATGACCTTTCCACAGGGCCTTTGGGCTCGAGATCACAGCCAGGGCCCTGAGGAGCATCCTGATGGACAGAATCCAAACTGAGCCCACCTCTTTCCCATGCTTTGGAAAGGCAGGAATTAGAAAACAAAATGAACGTTAAGAACCAGCGCCCTTGAGGCATTCCTGCCATCTGGTGGTGACAATCTGCAGAAACCAAGAACTCCACCTGGCTCCGCATTTCTCAATTAAAAAAAAAAAAGATTATAATTTCAGCCTTGGTGTCTTTGACTCCCCTTTCCTTTCTACACTGGAAATTTCTGTCTGTTGTGGGACACTTTCTTAAACTATTTCTCTGATATTTCTCTCCATCTTCTCCCCTCCATTTTTCTCTCAGTGAAACTTCTCTCTAGATGTTAGAGCCCCTAATTGATCTTTTACTTTACTTGGTTTTGTCCATTTTTGCTCCTCCTCTGTTTTTCTTATATTATCAAAATATCACCAAAACAACCTGTTGATTAAACCAAGTTGACCATCCTCGTAGCCTCACAGAGAAAGAAAACAGACAAGAGTTGAGATAGTCTTTGTTTGCTTGCGTACCAGTACTGGAGCTTGTACCCCAGTGTGATCTACCACTGAGCCACATCAGCCCTTTTAATTTTATTTTTATTTTGAGATGGGATCTCCCTAAAGTTGCCTGGGCAGGACTTGATCTTGTGATCCTCTTGCCTCAGCCTTGAAGTGCTGGAATCAGAGGCCTGCAACACCACACCTGTATTGATGAGGTTGTAAAGCCTGGCTGAGGGCAGGGCTTCCCAAAGGAGGCCTGATCAGTGCCAACAGGGTAACAGTTCAGGGTTGGTGCCCGCAGCAAGAAAGGATTTGGAGGCAGGAGATTCAAAGAACTTGCAGAGTAAGCTGTCACTTGACTGGAAATTGGACAGTTTGGTGTTCGTTTCAGCGAGGGTCTTGGGGGAGGGGGAAATTCCTAGAATAAAGAAAGTTGTTCACATCTTTATAGCCCTGTGAAGGAGTTCCCTGTCAGAGTTCACTTGGCAAGACTGAAGAGGTAAAGTCTTGTAAATGCAAACGGGTAACCGTGCATGTGGAATTCAGGTTCCCAGGCACCTCATCTGATTTTCCTTCTTTTTCGGGGGAGTCTGTCTGCCTTTGTGTTATTTGGTGCTGGAGACGGAACCCAGAGTACCCGCTCTACCACTGAGCTCCATCCCCTGCTCCCTTCCCTTTTGTTGAATTTTTTCTACTGTAATATTTTCAGTTTTCCAGAAGTCTCTTTCTTCTTGAATGTCCCTTTAAAAAAAAAACAACTCATTTTTTTGTGTGTGCGGAGGTGAGACGATACGGACATGGATGAATCGTTAATATTTTTAAGATATGCTTTCCTGCCAACTTGGCGGCCTTCAACCCCTCAGTTCCCCTTCGTGCTTTTCTTCTCTCATGGGGGAGGCAGTCTTAGATGTCTGACGGTGATCCTATCCACTTAAGGGCACAACCAATCAGAAAATATCCATTAAACAAGATGAGTAAGCTCTAGAGACCCACGGCTCAACCCTGTACCTACAGGCAACAAAAATGAACACTTAAAATTACCCTAGGCCAGGGATTTGGCTCAGTGGTTCCTCCACACAAGGGCCGGAGTTCGAACTCCGATACCAAACAAAACAAAACAAAAAAAAAGCGCTAAGAAGGTCAAGCTCATTCCAGCAAAGCAAACACAGACTGAACGGTGAGTTGAAGAGCGGGGCTGAGGCGGGATGGGAGACGCGCTGGTTAGGGCTGGGTGATCTTATGAAGCTGCAGAATTTTCCCCTCCTGAGCTGTGAAGTTTTCCCAGAGAGGAATTTTCCGGTCGCCTGTGGGTTGAGGGTGAGCCAGGCTGCAACATTCCCAGAGCAGAGGCAGTGAGAGGAGCCGAGATCTCCTGCCTAATACCGACTTGCACTTAATTCCCACTTTTATTACAGCCTCCCTGTCCTCGGCGATGTCTCGGGTTTGTGTCTATAGCCTGGTGCCTTTCAGGGCCTCTAGGGCCTCAACACCTAAGCTTTCCTGGCATCTGGGAGTCAGATTACCCTGGGCTTCCCATGCCGCCCAGTCAGCAGACCCTTGCACAGCCTCCAAAGTGTGGTCACTGTCGTCACTTTACCCAGTTTCTTTGTCCTTGTGGGTTTGTGCATTTTGAACGTATTGTGGTTTTGGAAGCCTTTGGATGGGCAGCAGGGACAAATCAACGTACTTGTGCAGCCACACGTAACTAGGAGTTTGTGTGACGTTACTAAGGCCCCTTCCAGCCTCTAATTGTATGATTTGAAATGCATCTTAATTAAGGCAAGAGTGAGCACATAACTGGACATGAGTTGGAGGAATGACAACTTGGGAGTCTCTCAAAAAATAAGATAGGAAGAGAGGCGATTAGCTTGAGCTAGAGGAAGCCTCCTAGAAGAGCTAAAATCTTTTAATTAAAACTGAACTCTGCCTGTCTTTGCCTTTTTCTCCCTCCCCTTCTCTCTCATTGTGTGACATTCAGAGATACTGTCTGACACCAAGGGTCAGCAGCACCCCACTGGGGCATCTTCCCAGGGCATCAAAGCATCCCTTGAGGGCCTCCCCTTGAGTTCTTTGGCTCCCTGTGGCCTGCTTCAGCCAACAGATTCCATTCTCCTGTAGGATCTAATTAGCATCTCGGTGGGACACAATCTCTTCCATGTGTTCCTCTCATGGGTCCTCTGCCCTACAAGTAGCTCATTGTACTGGCTGAGGCAGGAGGCTAGGGCTTGGCCAGCTGGCTGGGAGAGTGGGTGTGACCTGTCTGTCAATCATACAGACCCAAGACAAATGGGCAGAACAGCTTCCAAACTCTGTACCCGGGACCAATCAGAGAGTGCTATCTTCAATTCTTCTGGCACAAGATCAAGCAGGTTTCTGATAGGTCAGCCTAGAACGGATGTCAGAATGGGGCGGGGCAAAAGATGGCAGCCATTAATCTCTTCTGTGAGGTATTTCACTATCCTGCTTTGAGCTGTGCGGAGGGTATTTCTTTTCCTACTTTAGTTGGCCCACACTCACTCTACAGAGCACACTCTATTTCCTACCTTCCATACCTTTAATAAATGTACAACCTTGCTACCTTGTTTCCAATTCTTTGTTCAAGGCAAGAACCCATCTCTGGAAGGGCCCCATAGCCCCCCAAGGTGCTATTATTGTATTCTTTTAAAATTCTTTATATAGATTAGTTAATCCCTGTTACTATACAATAAGTCTTTATATTAAGATTTCCCTACTCAATGTGTGGTTTCTGTTTCCTGATTGGGTCTCTAGCTGATAAAATATCTTATTCATGCTTTTTCAAAAAATTATAGGAATAGGTATAGATCACACATACCTTGCACTGTGCACATATGTAAATACTTAAAATATACCAAATTATTACCAACAAAGGGGTGAGATTAAAAACTAAATGTAACTAGATTTCTCTTAACTCTACATACCTATTTGAACTTTTTTTTTTTTGTCATAGACTATATAAGCTCCAACAACAGAAAATATAGTTCTTTTAGGAAAATTAATGTAAAACCAACTTTGGAACCAGAACATCACCTGTAAGCATCAGGTGTCGTCCTAGCCATCCCAGTGTTGGCGTCCTTCACTGCAGTGGGGGTGGATGTGCAAGAAAAAAGAGGACGGGAAGACAGCCAATCCCAGGCTTGAGATACCACTTGGAGTAGAAGTTAGGGCCTACAGTAAAAGATGATTATTCACGGGCTCAATGGCTGCCTAGGTCCCTCCTAAAACCTGAGGGCCCTGAGTAGGAGGGAATACCACTGATGGAGCCCAAACACACCAGTAGTAGTTACTCCAGAAATGTCCGGCTTTATGTCCTCCCGCTCCTGCCTAGGTGCCTTCTCCACAACCTCGTGCTGCATTCGGAGCCTTGAAGGTAACACCCCTCACTCCTGAGGGAGCAGGGACTCTCCAAATATCCCTTTTTACTGAAACTAGAGTTTTCTGTAGGGTAAAACGGAGGGGATGAACCGGAGGCAGAGAAGTAAGTTTATGTGGGATACAAGAATATGTGAGCCTTGGGCTTAAGATACAGAGACTAGGGTGTGTTTTCAAAAGAAAAATGAGAGGCCCTGCCTCTGTGTAATAATTGTTTTGCTCGTTTAAGTAGGTGAGTTTTAGAGGCAGAGCTCCTGGGATCAAATCCCAGCCCCACCACTTAGCACGTTAACCACTCTTAGCTTGGCTTTAAAAAAAGGAAACCGAGCTTAGGCTTCTGCAGAATGCGGTACGTGTATGATCTGCAGCACCCGATACTTGCTGTGATCTCCACCTCTCTGGGTTTTAGGGCTTCTTAAATTTATATCTTTCTTAGTACACATTTGCCATACCTGATCACATCGATCACGGGGAGTCGGTGCACGCACGCAGCAGCTCTTATATCATCTTTTGTTCCCATCCCTTTCCCTCCCTCCCCACTTCCTCCATCTCTGGGTCCTCTTCCAGTCCGCAGAGGATCCGTCTTCAGGTTTCCGGTTCTCTATCTTTTATGTTGCTCTTTAATTTATTTGTACTTCAGATTTCTCGTAAAAGAGAAGCCACGTAATACTGTGTGGCTGATTAATGTCATTTAACATTATGGTTTCAAAACTGCTAATTTGCTAATATAGCAAGAAAATTATCCAGCAATTTCTTACTAAGATGGAAAAAGCAAGGGGCTTCAGCACTAATGCACAGCGAAGGGTCTTAAAAAGCACCGCCAACCGGAAGCAGGGACGCGGGGTCCCCTCCTCCTCGCCCGACCTGGTCGGCCTGGTCGGGTCAGGGCACCCGGTGTTCTGCTCACCCCGGATGTAGAGATCCACGAGGGGCTGAGTGTTTAAGGGAAACCTAAGCAGGAGGGAGAGAAGCGACCAGGGAAAGGACGGCCCGGCAGGGACGCCGGCCCCAGGGGTGGCCTGGCCCGCAGGAGGGGGTCCGTTCTCGGCCCACCGGGGACAAGAGGTCACCCGCTGCGCGCAGAGTCCGTCCTTGCCTGCGAGCCTAGCACCTCAGTCATCGCGGGACCAGGGCTCCGGATGGACGGAGGGGCTCTGGACAGAGCACGCGGTGCCCACCGCACCCACCCTGATCCCTCGCTTGATGACGAGCCAGGTCTGGCTCACCTGGGCCGTGCGAGTGAAGAGGAACTGTGTTGGGCTGCACACAGAATACACATTTGGGAGGCTGAGGCAGGAGGACCACAAGTTCCAGTCCCACATGGGCAACTTAGCAAGACCTTGTCTCAAAGTGAAAAATTAAAGAAGGGGCTGCAGATAGGAGCACCCCAGGTTTAATCTCAGGAAATACACACACACACACACACACACACACACACACACACACACACACATATATCTCTCACTCTCTCTCTCTCTCTCTCTCTCTCTCT